CGGCGTCGAAGCCGAGAGCGTCGTGCTGCTCGGAGCAGAGCAGAGGAAGAGTCTGGAGGAGGACAAGCAGCAGATCAGAGACGCTCCAATGAAGAACTGACGGTCAGAAAACTTCCTGAATGTGTCGTAAACTCTTCGTTCTTCACCCTGAACGTGTGAAAACCACGACAGACACACGTGATGTGATTAGAAATGAACTAAAAGTGCAAAAATCTTCACGTGTGAATAGAGAAATGAAACCAAACTAATCGACTTTTGTGATGAAATTCATTCCACACAGATAAAAACAAAACAGTGAATTTAATGAAGATTTCAGTTCTTATTTCTTTCATTTCTTCTATTGCAGATGCACAGAACTGGAGCAGATACATGAACACATTTTTTAAACATTTACTGTCTTGACCCGCTGCAGACGAAACACGCTTTTCAAAATAAGAGCCCTGACTCAACCCACACATAAAACACATTTATTCAGCCTCTTCCTCTGATCTTTCTGTTTGTCTGATAAAAACTTAAAGCCTTTCTGGGTCGAGGTGCTGATAAAATCGAGCACTGAACAGCTTTAAACCTGCAAACTACAAAAACACGAGCAAGAAACTCGACTTTCATGAAACGTCTGCTGCTGTATTTATTCATCATCGCTGTAAAACTTCCTCCACTCAACCCGAACCCACAAGTTTGAACTCATACTCACTTAATAACCACACTTCCCTCATTTTTTAAAAATTTAATTAAATAAAATTTTAGCAGGAAAATGTAAAATAAAGGTCACACAAGCAGAGAACATTTATTTTTGCTTCAGCAGAATCCACCTGCTCTTCATGGGTCACCACTTATAAAATATGATTTTTATTCATTCCAGACGCACTGATCGTCCATTTACTGCTATTATTTTCTTGTTTTTTAGGATTTCTGAGTTTATTTTCACACATTAAACGTTTGTCTGGTTAAATTAACATTCTGATTCTGCTGAATGATGCAGAAACGAGATCCTTAAACGCTCTGAATCAGATATTTTGTTGGTAAAATCACCAACCTGATGAGGAAAACCGGAGCTGTTCAGCTTTAAAAACACAAAACCAGCTCCGTTTTCCCGCCTGAAAACCAGTAAAACCACAAAACGATGCACTTGGAAGGTTAAACTTCACAAAATCTGACTGTTTGGGGGCGACTTTGCATTTTAAAATCTCCACAGTTTGTGTTCAGATCTTGATGATGATGATTTGATAAATGCTGATTTGCAGCTCGGTCGGTTTGTTTGTTTGTTTGCTGATATTCGGGGCGATGAAATCAAACACACGGGCTCAGATAAGGCTGCAGGTAAAACTCCTGCGACATTATGCGAAGAAAAACACTCGCTATTCACTAAATCCTCCTCTTTTTTTTCTTCTCCTCTCCCCCGATGGAGAGGACAAACTCTCCAAATTAGCTCCTCAAATATTGACCGGCAGAAATTGGTGGTCTCCCGCTCGCTGTCAGGGCAGAGGGGCTCCTAAACACACTGTGGTCGGGTTTCGAGGTTTCGCATTGATTTATTTTTTGCTATTTGTTTGTTTAAATATCGTAAAAATAAATGTATGCTCTGGTGAGGCTTGCTTCTGCTTTGGGCACAGAGGGACCAATGTGAGACAGCAGCAGCAGAAAGCCCACCTTATTCTCTCTTTATTCGCCTCCTCCCGCCGGCTCTTGATGTGAAACGCCGAGCTCGATTCGTCGGATCCGGCCGCCCCGAAGCCATTAAATCAGCCGTCTGTCCGATGGTCCGACGCTCCTCCTACGGAAGCCCATTGGTGCCACGAGAAGCCGCTCAAGTTACGGAGGACGAAAACACCACGAGCGCTGAATCCTGAGGTGAAATCAAACCGTTCTATCTGCGATTTGACTGCATTTATAATCTGTAATCAGATCTTTATGTTACTCCGGGACGCTGGTTTTTCACTCCTGCTGCTCCACATCAACAACATCCCAAAGCAGTTTTGGTTTTGTTGTTATTTTTCTCGCTGGAAAATGTAGATTCACACCTGAACACTGTTTCCACATGCACAGTGTTTACCAGATTTATCAGACCACCAGCCGATGTGGGGTTTATGCCATAAATTAACAGCATCTTTTACGTTTCTGTCGTGGTTAATACACCAGTATGTAGAAGCTCTTTAACTATAATAATACGTTTAATGCAAAAATATAATTATTATCCATGAATTTTTACAAAAAAACAGGAAAGCACATGATTATTTCCTGATTAAAACGTCTAATTATAGTGATTTACTTGCATTCCTGAACAGAAAAATGTAGTTTTAGTGTTTGAATGTTCATTTATTTCCTCATTCCTGTTCAAAATGGTAAAACGTGGAGAGCTTAAAGCTCTTCATGATGCTGGATGGTCGATATATATACATAATATATAATATATATATAATATAATATATAATAATATATACATATTAGGGGTGGGACTTTAACGCTAATACACTTTAACGCATTAATTACGATTAATTAATTACAACAAAAATAAGGTGTTAAAAAATGTATTAAATTGCAGTTTGCATCCAGACAACACGGAACGTTTGTTGGTGCCTGATTTCACGGTCCAACGATCACATGATGCACGAGATGCGTCAGCGCTACGCTAACAGCAACAAACATGGAGGAATCCGATGAGAGCGCGTCGCTTGGACTGATGGAGGTTTATTTTAACAAGCCGCCTGATGGAAGCCTGGACCAGAGCCTGCTTTGGTGCAACTTGTGCAAAAACAGAATGTGCATCCCACCAACGCACATCGAGCTGACCGTACCACCTGAAGGCAAAGCAACGAGCACAGAAACCGCCGGAGCTGTTAGCGCTAGCGGTCCTGGTCCGGCAGCCCACACTGGACCACGTGACTGGATTCAGAGCCAAAACTAGCACGTCGATGTCTGACAAACTCACAAATTCGCTTGCAGAATGGATCGCTCTGGACTGTAGATGAAGATTAGGGTTTAGAACACGTGCTACAGATAGCGACGAATTTTATTAACGCGTTGTTTTTGTTGTAATTAACTAATTAACGTGTTAAAGTCCCAGAAGTTTGCATACAGTGTATAAAGAGACAAAGATGTTCCATGTTGTCACAAAAGGAGGCAGTGTGTTTGAGGTGAGCCTCCAATTAACTCAGATGCTGTCAATCAACCTATCAGAAGCTTCCAAAGCCGTGACATCATCATCCGGGCTTTTCCCAAATAGTTTGAAGGATCTTAGTGGATGTAAACTTCTGACTCTGAAGAAAGTCATAAAAACTTCTAGCAAATAGAAATAATGTTGGTGATCCTGACTGACCTGAAACAGGAAACATTTAATCTGATTTATTGTCAGATAGTGAGAAATAAATGTTTTATGTGCTTTTATACAGCGTATGTTAACATCTGGTTCCATCTGTACATGTAGATATATTCAGTGTTTAACAAGTGAGACAGGTGGTCCAATAAACTTCAGATGAATTATCATAAAAATAAAACCTATTTCACAGTTTGTTTTTATTTTCTGGGCAGCAGCAGGCCTCCATACTGGCCTGTATTTTAAGACCAGTACAAAAGCGTCCTCGGGGTGTGAACGCGGCGGCGAGAGGATTGTTATCTGCTGCCGCCGACCAGAAAGGAAACACCGGCCCAGGAATAAAAACAGGTGATTACGGCGGGTCAACAACCTCTCGCCCGTTTTGTCGAGCTGAGTAATGCTCTGGAAAGTTCCTTCCTTCCAAAGTCCGCCAGCGAGGCCGAGGCCGGGGCGGGGCGCTCACCTGGTGGCCCCGCCCCCTGGCCCCGCCCCCTGGACCACAGCAAAGCGCGGCGTGCGGTGGAGGTGATGAGAGGTCGGTGAGCGCTGGCAGCCGGCTGCTGGGCCTCTATTATTAGCAGGTAAACAGCTCCGGCTTTAGCTGCTGCTGCTGTTGTTGTTGAATCGGGGCAGTTTGGTGCCGGAGAGTCTCACAGCGACTCGGCCTCGTCCTCGCCTCCGCCGCTGACCTCGTGTTTGCCTTTCGCTCATTCCTCTCGACCTCGCTTTCTCTCATCGTCACCTCAGCTTCCCGTCCAGGATCCCAGAGCGGCGCTTACGTTTGAACCCCCGAGGGCTCGAGGTCGCGGCCTCGGAAAAAAACCGGACGGCTCGAGGACGAGACGGAACAGGAACATGAGCGGAGCGCGACGAGATCCGGAGAGAAAACGTCTGATTAACGCCACAAACGGCTAACGAGCTCTGACGCGTCGATTGACCCTCAAGTCGGATGATTCCTGCTGATTGTTTCTGCGAATTAAACCCAACAAAACAGGACATTTTTCTAGAAATTAGGTCCGATTCAGTGAAATTAACCTGCAGGAGTTTCTGAAAGTTTCAGCTGTGCGCCGTAAAAAAAAACAAATCTATAAAAAAAACTGTAAATATTTGGCAGCAAATGTGCAAAATTCCAGTTGGTAAAAATCTGAAAAAAAACCAAACAAACTGTAAAATTGTGCAGCAAACAGATGCAAAAAAAAAAAATAGGTGTAAAGTTCAAAAATAGTGAAAATAGCCGCAAATATCTGTAAAATAAAGACGATTTAAATACAGCAGAAAGAAGTCCCAGTCAGACGCTGTTTGTAAAAATGTAGATTTGATGTGAACATTATTAAAACTTTTTTGTAGTTTAACAAAACAGGCACAACTTGGAAAATAATACACAATAAAAGAAAAGATGATTCAATTCTTTCCCCCATTTTCTTTCAAATAAAGGCAAATATGTAAAACAACTATAGTTTCCTGCTGATTTAATTACAGCAGAAATACAGAAACTTTATGCTCAGAGGTTGTAAAAGGAAGAATTAGGATTTGCCTTTTTGCCCGTTACAGTTTTGGCCTGTTTTGTTCGCATTAACAGGTACATTAAGACTATTTTTGTGATTTTACTTGCTGTCGATGACGGTGAAGCTGATTTTATTGACTTTATTTGCTGCGTGGAGTCTTTAAACGGATCCTAATCTAATAATAAAGCGTCACTGTGTGAGTTTCTAACAATAACACACCAGAATTTAAACAGA